AGCCTTTAATTCATTTATATGTCTTATGTTTGCTGATTTATCTGTATTTGAAACTATCATTTAAATTTTTTTATTTCTCCTTTTTTAATTTTTCTTTTTTATTTCTTATTTTTTATTTGTTCTCATTAGTTATACGTGACAGTAGAATATATTTTGACAAATTATACATATATGGAGTATAACTTCTCATTCTTCTGGATCTACATGATATAGATTTACATTGGTTCTTATTTTGATAGTTTTTTAATTATTCAAGTTTTTCTCTTCATCTAGTGTAGAAGATATAAGATTGTTTTTCTTTGTATTTAGTGTAGGTCAAGTAATACATATACTATCCAAAATTCTTTTTATTTCTAGAAGTGTATATATATAAAATCTTTTTAGACACTGGAGTTTTGTCTTTTTTCCATTAGTCTTGATAATCAAATTTCTCTCTGCCCACTGTTTTCTATTGTTATCTGTCCCTTTTAATGAAAAATTGAAAGAAGATATAATTTCTATTATATTTTTATACTTTGTTTTTGATCATATTTCTTTGTTTTGGTTATTTTTAGATACACATGACAGTAGGGTGTTTTTTGACATATTATACATACATGGAGTGCATCCCAATTCATGTGGTATATATACACAATGGAATATTACTCAGCCAAAAAGAAGAATGAAATTATGGCATTTGCCAGTAAATGGACGGAACTGGAAACTGTCATGCTAAGTGAAATAAGCCAGTCCCCCAACACCAAAGGCCAAATGTTCTTTCTAATATATGAATGCCAACTCTTTTGTATCACATTAATTCGATATAAGGGAACCTCAAATTTAGAAGTATTCATCTAGAAATCCTCAACAAGGATCAGATTAGACATGAAAGCAAGTGTAGTATTTCTAGGAATTCAAAGAATTCATGGAATTCAAAGAATTTAAGTGAAGGAGTTTCTGGTCAATGTTATCAAACTAAATAAATAATTCATTACTCAGTCAAAAGTGTATTATTTACTCTTCAGATATTAAAATGCTTTCTGTTTTTTATCTTATTGATTTCTAGTTTCATTCCATTATGATCTGATAGGATGGAGGCAACTATGTCTATTTTCCTTTTGTATTTGCTCAGTCTTGCTTTGTGCTCTAAAATATGATTTATTTTAGACAAAGCTCCATGTGCTGCTGAGAAGAAAGTAAATTCAATTTTCAATGAATGAAATAGTATATAGATGTTGGTTAGTCCATTTGATTAGTAGTATTTATTTTTTAGTTCTGAATAATCTTTCCTTAGTTTATGTCTGGATGACCTTTCTAATGGTAAGAGAGGTTTGTTGAAATCACCCAGTGTTATTGTATTGTGGTGTATTTGATTCTTTAAATTGTGAAGGATTTGTTTCATATATAGGTTAACCAACATTTGGAGCATAGATATTTATAATCATCATATTTTTTTGTTGGATATTTTCTCTCAAATGAAGAAACTAAGCTAAAATAAGGGAAGAAGAAGAGGAATTATCCCATGGAAATAGAAGGGTGATTAGTGGAGTAAAGGGAAGAGATTGAGGGGCAGGCATGAGTGAATGCTAAAGGGAATAACAGTGGAATAAAATTGACCAAATTATGCTCTGTACATACATGCATATATCACAGTGAATTTAACCTTTATACATATCCATAAAAAAGTAATTAAATAGAAGGAAGATCAAGGAGTAGAAGAAGGGAAATAGGGGGAGGGAGGAGGAGAGGGAAAGAGAAAGTACTCAGAACTGAAGAGGAACAAATTATATTCCAAGCATGCATGGTAATGTCAAAATTATCCCCACTATTATGTATAACTGCAATGCCCTAATAAAAACATAAAAAAGGAAATAAAGAAGTTTAACCTAGTGGATTCTCTAAAGCATAGTTTATTATTTTATAGGTGATCATTCATATAGCAGTTTCAGTGAAACAGAGAAGGAGGCAGAAGGCAGTTTATGAAAGAATGAATAGAAGGTAAATATGGTGGAGTAAACAATTTTATATCACTAGTTCAAGAGTCTTGATTGTTTTAGTCAGCTTTTTTTGGCACCGTGACTAAAAGACCTGACAAGAACAATTTTAGAGTAAAGAAAAGTTTATTTTGGGCTTCATGATTTCAGAGGTCTAAGTCCACAGATGGTGGACTCCATTTCCTGGGGCTTGAGGTGAGGCAGAACATAAGAGTGGAAGAATGTGGTGGAGGGAAACAGCTCAGGATATGATGACCAGGAAACAGAAAGCACTCTGCTCACCAGACAAAATATGTACCCTAAAGTTACACCCCAGGGATTCACCTCCCCCAGCCACACACAACTTTAGTCACCACTTAGTTAATCCCATCAGGTGATTAATTAACTGATTAGGTTAAGTCTCTCATGACCCAATCGTTAAACCTTTTAACTCTCTTGCATTGTCCCACACATGAGCTTTTGGGGGACATGTCACATCTAACACATAACATTGATTAATAAAGGAATGATAAAAGATCATAGCTAGAAAGTAGCTATTATTGTCTGCTGTTGGTGGTTTTCCTCTCCTGATCATCTTGACTCTTTGCCAAAAAAGAATGTAGGTGACTTGACAGAAATGACAAAAGTTTGGCACAATTAATAATAATAGGGAAGAATGCTAGTTTATGATGAATCAAAAGATCATTGAATATTACTCAATGATTTTGTTGTGCTACATATGGAGTTACACTATGTGAAGAAGTGTCTTTGACATAAAGCCAAATTTGTTTAAGCCAAAAATACATAATGTTTTCTGTCAAGAAACTGCAGGCAGAGAAGCATTTGTTTTCCATAAAATGAAGGATTGGATGGGCATGGAGGAAAGATTTAAAAGGGAAGAATAGTCTTGAAAATAGATCTCTGAAAAGGAAAGGATGGCAGATTGTATAGGTATGAACTCAGAAAAGCATTTTCTCTTTTTCTGCAGCAAACATTTTCATTAGGTAGCTATCATGTGCCTGGCACTGCTCTGCAACCTCTGCACTAATGAAACATAGCTAATGAGACAAGTAGACCATGAACAAATAAATGTGCAGTGTAATTTTAGGTAGTTAAATATCCTATAACAAAACTTAATAATTTATTTAAAACTGCACAGTTTTAAATAAAGGAGATCAGAGAAGATGTATCTGAATTGGTATATGGGAATAGAATCCTGAAGATAGTGAAGAAACGAGTCAATCTGATATATGGAGAAAAAAATTTACCAAAGAAGGAGGAGCAAGTGTGATGTCCCTAAACCTGGAGCCTTGGGTGTTTACAGGGAGTATCAGGATACAACTATGAGTTGGTATGAAAAGAGGAAAGGAAGAGTGGAAAGATAGGAGTTTTGAGAGGTAGCTAGTGGTCAAATCAACTAGATTCTTAAGATCATCTCAGGTACTCTGTATCCAATGAAAATCCATTGGGAAAAATTGGAAAAGAGATGATATAATCTGACTTATATTTTTAAAAATCTCACTTCAGTTGCTGTTCAGAGAATGGATTATAAAGGGGAAAATGTGTAAGCACAGAGACAAGGTAGACCATTGTCTTAGTCTATTTTCTGTCGCTAAAATACAACACCTGAGGTTGAATAACCCTAAAAGAAAGAAGCTTATTGTGGCACATGATTCTGGAGCCAGTGAAGTCCAATAGCTAGGCATCAGTATCTGCTTAGCTTCTGATAAAGGTCTCATGCTGCTTAAGCTCTTAGTAGAAAGTAGAATTCATGTGCAGAAAGGAGAGAACATGAAAAGTATACTTGCTTTATAATGACTTGCTATAATGATAACTAAACCACCCTGTGAGAGTGAAAAATCACTCAAAGAGAAAGGCTTGAATTTCTGGGGACTACATCTGTGATAACCCAAACATCTTTCTCTAGGGCCCACCTCCTAAAACTATCACAATGGGGACCAAGCCTCAACATGAATTTTGGTGGCTACAAACCATATTCAAAGCATAGCAGGCATTTATTGGAGTCATGAGGCTGGGAGATGATATTGTGTACCCAACACCTTAGGAGCGATGAAGAATGAGTGAAGTAGATTTTGCATATGTTCTAAAGTCAACAGAATGATAATTTGGATATAGGGTATAAAACAGAAATTTTGAGGTATGTATGCGGATTGGACAATAGGTGGATTTGAAATATGAGAGATAAATCCTAGGTCTATTGTTCTTCTGTTTCTTTGTAGATTTCATTTTTTTTTTGCTTTTTTACTGCTATATTTCCAGCACTTAGGATGGTGTCTGGTATATATTATTCCATAAGTTTTGAATGAATTAATAGAAAGTAATTTCAGTGGAGTTATAAGTGAAAATACTTGATTGGTGTAGATGGTATTAGAGGATGATTAGGGAGGAAGCTGAAGTAGTGATATAGAAAATTACTGAAATGAAGCTGAGAAAGTGGGAAAGAGTTGGAGGGCAATGTCATGTCAAGGGAGAAATTTTTTTTCTTTTTGACAATGGATGATATTACATTGTTTTTATACTGCAGGGAATGAGCCACTAGAGAACAATACTGACAAGTGTGGGAGAGATATAACAGGAATAATATCCTTCAGCATGGAACGGGGAGTAGGATCCAGGGCATATGTGGGTGGGCTAGTGTTAAACAGGATCACAGAGGCCTTTGATAATAGAGGGAAGGTAGAATATACGGCTGAGATTCAGGTAGGTTGGTATAATTGATATGATGTAGATGGAGGCATTGTTTTCTGATTGCTTTTGTTTTTCTTGATAAAACAAGCAAAGCCTTTTGATGAGAGTCTGGGAGAAGAAATATTGGAGATTTAAGCAGAGAAAAGAAATTTAGAATTATTGTATCAGAGAGTGGGAGAGTAAATTGGTTAAGCAAATATAAAAGATCCTGGGACATTAGAAGTATGTTGAAAACCTAGAGAGGGCACTCAGGCATAATTATGAATTTTCCTCTAGCTAGATTCAAGTGCTTGTTTGCTGGTAAAGGGTTGAATTTAACAAGAATTTATGTTTTCCCAGGCAGCTACAACAGAGTAAGAGAGAAGCAAGTGTGTTTAAGGTACGTACTGGAGAATGATTATACTGATTTTAATCATGGTCTCTGTGTGTAATCCAAGAAGGATAAGAAAGTTAAAGAGAACACAAAGGTGATGATGTATAATTCAAAGGTTATATTCAAAGGATCAGAGATATTGGAGCAGGAGACAGAAGAATCGATAGTATGAAGGTACTCCATAAAATGATTTGGAAAGATGTGATCAGAGAGTCATTTTCCTTAGGAATGGATGACTAGATTAGGGCAGAGCTGAGGCTCACTGTAGAGCACAGTACCTCGAAAACTCCAGATATTGGCATTCTCAGAACTTTGCATGCACACACTCATCCCAAGTATTGTTTCCCAGATGCTACAAAATAAACTCTTTTATTCCTTCCCCCAAGTTTATAACCAGAATTTCATCTAAGTCCATATAAATGCACCAAGGTTTAAAGTACTGCTCATTCTTAAAAGATTTTGTAGTCAATTACTTACAATCCTTAACATACCATATAGAAATTTGAAATTGAAAAAGTTGACACAACATTATGATCTATAAAATATTTAATTTTAATAACAAATCCAATAGAAGAACTGGCTGTATCTGTACCTTGTACATAGCAGGTGCTCAAATATTCATGATAAGATACATTTGTACTTGGACAGGATGTAACAGAAGAAGTAGGTCCTTCGCTAGGCATTTTATATATATATATATATATATATATATATATATTATCTTATTTAAGTTTTATAGTCCCTATGTTATTATCCCCATTTTAATTGAATAAAGAGGTCTTTAAAGCCTAAAACAACTAGTATTTGGTAATTTCTTATACACTCTTGGTCTGGCAGGTTCCAAAGTCCATCGTATATTCAATCCTTTATACCATTTTACTTTGTTTAGGGTTATGTCTTTGCCATAGTAACATTCACTTGTTATTTTTAAAGTACCCATTATTTGTTAAGCACTTTTGTTTTGGTACCAGGGATTGAACTCAGGGGCACTCAACTACTGAGCCACATCCTCAGCCCCATTTTGTATTTTATTTAGAGACAGGGTCTCACTGAGTTGCTTAGCACCTTGCTTTTGCTGAGGTTGGCTTTGAACTCGCAATCCTTCTGCCTCAGCCTCTTGAGACAATGGGATTACAGACATGAGCCACTGTGACTGGCTTGTTAAGCACTCTTCTATGAAAGTTCTGTATCTACAGATTCAGACAACCATAAATTGGAAATATTCAAAGAAATTATGTCTCTGGACTATATCCAAACTTTTCCTCTTGTCATTCCCTAAACAATACAGTATAACAATCATTCGCATAAAATTTACATTGTATTAGGTATTATATGTAATCTGGAGAGGATTTGCAGTATACTAGAGGATATACATAGGTTGTATGTGAATATTTCACCATTTTATAAAAGGCACTTGAACATCTGCAGATTTTGGTTTAGGGAGATGTGTCTTAGAATATCACACAGATACCAAGGGACAACTGCATATATTCTTGTCCCCATTTAAATATTTCACTAGGGAAGCATACAATAACAAAAATACATAAAATATATATATTAGAAGTGCAAATGAAGAAAATAGAGCAAGCAAATATGTAGAAATTATTAGGGAAATTTTACAAAGGGTGGCTAGAGAAGGCCTCAATGCAAAGGTGTTATTTGAATTAAAACCTGAAGGAAGTGGAGGAACAAACTATCTGGAAGTTAGATGGATGAAAATTCTAGGTAGAGTCTCTAGCAAGTGCAAATGTCCAGAATAATCAATGAGCAGCAAGGAAGCCACAGTGGCCAGAATGGAGTGCTAATAGGAGATAAAGTTAGCCAGCTATTTGGGGATGAGTTCATCTAGGGCCTTGTAGATCCCAGTGAAGCTTTTGAAATGGGAAGGCATTGGAGGATTTTGAGAAATTGAAAAGACATGATCTGATATAACAATTTGAAAGTGTACTCTGGCTGCTTTTTGTAGAATCGAAGTAAGGAGAATAAGGGCAGAGACAACAAGCTAAATTAGAAAGCTTTTACAATAATCTTGAAAAGAGACAACAAGCCAGATGATATTGGAGGAGGTAAGGAGCAGTGGTTGTTACCTGGATATGTTTCCTTTTGAATGGAATATCAATTGGGGCTTACTGATACATTGTATGTAGGGTATAAGAGTAACAGAGGAGTCAAGATTGATATCAAAGCTTTACTCTGAGCAAGTGGAAGGGTGGAATTACTATTAATTGAGGTGGGACAGACTGCAAGAGGCCCATTGATGCTGTGTGTGGGGGGGCTGTATGTGAATATCTGAGACTCAGGTTTGAACATGCTAGGTCTAACATTTGAGTTGTTATAAGTTTTCTCCTGGAGAACAGGTACAGATATGGATTCTAGAAGAGATGGAGGTAGAAGAGATCGATTCTGAGATGGAGGTGTTAATTTTCAATTTTTCAATTTTATGTATGATATTTTCTCTTTCTTTGTTCCTTGTCCTCTCTATTAGCTCTCGAGTAGGGTGAATAGGTAGAGTAACCATTTGCTAATTTGCCTGTGCAATCATATGTTATGTGACTTGAGTATGTGTCATGGTTATGTGTTCATATATCATGAATAATCCATTCAGACATCGTGATTATCTGAAACTGCCTAAGGTTTGTCTCATTCTGTTTCATAGCCATTCTGCTCCTGCTACAGTCATCTGCTGCTGTGCCACAGTTGGTTGTAAGCTCCTATAATGTTGGTGTTTTCCATGTACTGTACTTATATAAACATACACCATAGCTGTCTATACTGGTGGTGTGCTTTAGGTTATTCACAGTGACTTTTAAACAATTATTAGGTTTTACTTTCTTCTCATGCATCATGGTTGTTTGACTATTTATGTAATTACATGATATTCCTTTCCTGTAATTTTTAGTTTATTCACCATGGATGTTTTCACTATAGTTGTGTATCCAAATATTATAGATAATTATTTACTCACGGTAGTCATTGATACCCCACTTTCATTTGTATCTTGCCTCTCTGCTCCTGTGAAAATTTTTGACTGTGTCTGCCTGCTTATGGACCATGATATTCTGTTCTGCGTCATGGTAGTCTACTCTCACAGTAGGACCATTTTCTCTTAAACTATGTCTCTTAAGGATAAATAAATCAAATACCTCTTTGCATGAATCAACTTATATCCAGCTATATGAGCACTTTATTTTGTTTGAAAGCACTGTATCACAGTTTTCAGTTTATGCACTATGATCATTTGAAACATCACAAAGTTTGTTATAATGATTTATGTATCTATTTGTGTAAAGTCTATCTCTGCATTTATTGATGGTTGTCTGAACATATACCAATAGACATATTCATTTAATGGTAATAGCTGATCATATGTAACATATCTCTGCTTCAGCCTCTTAAACTGCTGGTTTTACAGGTGTGTGCTACCTTACCTGGCAAGTCTCCATGTCTTAATATGCCAGAAGTTCTATATTATTACACTGTTAACTAAAGGAAAAGCCTTTGTGACACTAAAGGTCAAGTGGCATTAGGAGAAATAAAATAAAGATGTGAGAGACCATTTTAAGCTCTTGGAGTATAAGGGGTAATTGAGGCTAAGAGAAGTTCTGGAAGTTACTTCATCATAGAGGAAGACAAGGAAAGAGATGGAAATATATGTTAAGTTTCTTGATTTTTGATCTAGAATTCTTTATACTATCCTATGTATCCTTTTTTTGATGAGCTCTGGTATATTCAGAAAAAGTGTCCTATATTGGTGTGGATTTTGGTAGCACTGATGAGCTGGGGGAAGGAGGATATCAGGTTAAGCATTCTGTAACTGGATACTAGAAGAGTTAAATGGTTCCAATAGAGCTGAATACATTTTAATCTGTTTCCCCCTCCCTCCCTTTCTTTTCTACCCTTTTGTCCATTCCCCTTTCCTTGTATTGTGGATTTCACAGGTCTCTCCAAGTTAGTACCTGAGAAGATGATGATCACACATATGTGTCATTTCTACATTACCAGACTTGGGCTTCTTTTTCTGATTAATATTCTCCCTGGAACGACTGGCCAAGGGGAATCAAGACGACAAGAACCTGGGGACTTTGTAAAGCAAGATATTGGCGGGTAAGAATACTTAAGGTTTGGGGCAAAAGAAGAATTTGATAAATGCTTACCTCACATTTCAGAGTTTTCCTCAGATGAACCAAATACTCTGGTTTCTGATATATTACATTGTATTTGAGAGAAAAAATCATCAGCTCAGAATCTCAAGATAAAAAGAGACCTCAAAGTCGGGCTCAGTGGTGCATGCCTGTAATCCCAGTGGCTCCAGAGGTTGAGACAGAAGGATCATGAGTTCAAAGCCAGCCTCAGCAATGGTGAGGCACTAAGCAACTCAGTGAGACCCTGTCTCTAAATAAAATACAAAATAGGGCTGGGGATGTGGCTCAGTGGTTGTGTGCCCCTGGTACCCCTCTCCCACAAAAAGAGACCTCAAAGATCTTCCTAGGCAGGTCCGTAGCTCATGTTGAATCCCCTCTGTGATATCTTAAAAGCAGTTGTCTCCAGCTTTTGCTATTCATTTTATCTCTTCTCTCATAAATCTTCAAACTACACCTTTTTTTCGGTTTGGTGCATTAACATTTAAAAATGATAAGGAATCTCTCATCTTAAACTTAAAAATTTTCTCTACAGATAGTCCCTGTAGTGTTTGTCTTTACTTTCATGCTTATTGAAGAAGTGATCTGTTTTATTGCTTCTACTTGCCTCTTATCCATTCCTCCACCCACCACTATCTTTTTTTTGTTTCATAAAATAAAACTTAAGGAGAGAAGTATACATAAAATATACACATATAGTATGATGTTCTTTGACTTCAGAGACAGAATTCCTGGGTACTTAGATTATATTCTCTAGAAGCAGGGCATGACAGAAATATTCATTTTAAAATTTATTTATTTGTTCTTTTTAATTACACATGACAGTAGAGTGTATTTTGACATATCATGCATACATGGAGTAAAATTTCCCATTCCTGTGGTTGTACATGATGCAGCATTTTACTGGTTGTGTATTCATACAAGAACATAGGAAAGTTATGTCCAATTCATTCTACTGTCTTTGTTAATTACATCTGATGGAAGGAAGTATTCTTGAGCAAAGGATTTATTAAGAGAATACTCACAGCAGAAAACTGTAAGAAAGTAAGGCAACAAGATAGGGAAATGGGTAAAGTTAAGCAAAAGTGTGATTTCATGTGAATTATAGCCTCAATTTGACAATACAAGGAGATAGGAATCATAAATGGAATAGTCGTACCTTGAGACAAGGAGCCAAGACTTTTGTAGCCTCACCTCAATTGCTCATCATACTTTCATCTCACCCTCCATTTCTGACTTCTCTTGAACATCATATTTCTATATTCAACATTTTATTAGGTATGTCCACTTGATTATTCCACAAAATCCTTAAAATAAGCATGTCCAAAGTAGTCTCATCATTTCCATCTCCCTCACCATAAAGAACAAACACAACAAAACAAAAACATATCCCTTTTTCCATTTTCCCTATTTTAGTCAGTGTTGCCATCATGCACTCTGTTGCTTGAGCCAGAAACTTAGAATTATTTTTGCCAATTTTGTATCCTTCACTCTCCAGTTTGAATCAATTGCTCTGATCTGTTATTTCTACCCTGTGTGTGCCTTGAATTCACCCATTTTCCCACTACTAGTTTAATTCACTTGTACCATGGCAAGAGCCTCTATTTGGTTGTAATTCTTGCCCCCATCTAATCCTACTCTATAGCCAGTTTCCTTCTGTCATGCATGCTAAGTTATACCAAACCTATTTACATCCCTTTAATGGTATCTTATTTTTTGTAGAATAAAGTAAAAACTCCTTTTATAATTTTATAAAGCCCACTATGGTCCAGCTTCTATCTATCTACCTTATTAGCCATATTTAGTTAGTCCTCCTGCCACCAAACTCTGTTCTTCAGCCATTGTTGAACTTCTTTTAGACTAAAATCCTATATGTTTTAATCAGCTTTTTCCTTGTTGTGAGCAACAAACCTGACAAGAACAATGTAGATGGAGAAAAGTTTATTTTGGCTGAGGGTTTCAGAGGTTCGGTCCAGTTTCAGTTCCCTCCATTGCTCTGGGCCTGAGGTGAGGCACAGCATCATGGTGGAAGGGTGTGGTGGAGGAAAGCAGCTCAGGACATGGCAACCAGGAATCAGAGAGAAAACTTCTCACCAGGGACAAAATATATAAACTCCAAAGTCATGCCCCCACTGACCTACTTCCTCTAGCTTCACCCTACCTGCCTACAGTTATAGCACAGTTAATCCATATGATTGAATTAATGTGCCAATTACTTTATACCTCTCATAATGTAAATATTTCACCTCTGAAAATTCTTGCATTGTCTCACATATGAGATTTTTGGAAATACCTCATATCTAAAACATAACACAAGGGGATATAATTACTAATAACACCTTAAGCTTAAAATATTCCAGTATTACACAGGATATTTCATTCCTTCCTAGTGAACTTTGTTTGTTTGTTTTACATTTGATTATAGTCCCATTTTCTTAGAAACATGCATCTTGAAATATAACTGTTTGAATTATTTTTAAGAATTACTGATGTACTCTGATTCTTTCAATCTTTTATCAGGATTTTTACAGTAATCTCTGGGGCTTAGAACTACAGAACTGGACTTAAATATCCATTTAAGTCTTGGCATATGAGTCTCTTTGTTTCTCCCAAGATGGGAAGTTGAAACTAGACCTTTATTATTAACTCCTCATGGGTATGATTTCATTGGACCATGCTAAATGTTCTAAATAAGGTAGAAGTTCTAAATAAACAAATCTTACTTTAAGGGTTAAGTTCTTCTAAAATTTTAAACTTTTCTAAAAATATGTTGCATATTTTCTTATAAACCTAAACAAAGATTATGAGCACAGTAGTCCCTTTTCTTGGTGATTTTTGATTCTTATAAAGAACATTCATTATATTAATTCTTTATCTGCTTTTTCAATTTTTATCACCATCCTCACTGCTAGTTGTTGCCTTTCCTATTTACATTATTTTGTTTACATCCTGCTAATGCTTTGGAAACCAAATAGCCCAAACCTTTTAGCAATTATGCTAAATAAGAAGCCAAGAGATCCTTCCTGCAAAAGCAGAATGAAGTGCTTGATTTTAATACCAGGGCATAATGATTGCATAGACTAATTTATGCTATATGTGTGTGTGAATAGGTCATAATAAATCCCGCTATTATGTATAATTATAATGGACAATATTTTTTGAAAAAGAAACATTTTTTATATTCAAGGTTTGGAAGGATGAGACTACTAAAAAGTTGTCTTAGAATATTAGGGTTGGCACTTTATTTGTATCTACTAGAAAAAAAAAGGAGCCAACTCAACTTTAAAATGTATAGTATATGTGAAAGTTCTGATACTTAAAGGAGCTTCTGTTTCCTTTTGCTTGTTTTCATACCATATTAAATATGCCTTTGTATGTTGAAAAAAAATCCATGTGCTTCCTTACTTTATTCATCTTTACTAGTTCATTCTATTAAATAATCTAGCTTGGTTGTCCCTGAAGTTCTAACAACCAACAATGGTTTATCAATGTGCTAAATACAATGGTTCTCAGTGTTTGGTATGGGTAAGCAAGAAGCAAGAAGTACAGGCTTCACACTTGAAGATTGTGATTTAGAAGTTCTGAGAATAGTACCTAAAATCTTCATTTAATCAAATTCTCCAGATGATTTTAATGTAAGAAAATTTTGGTTAATACTTGGGACTATAGTTTCTATTTTCAAACAACTAATACTGTAGATAGGGATATGAGATTCTGGATCTTTAGAGCAACAGAGATGGAAAGACCTATAGATAGTATCTATAATCTTATCTTCATTTTATAATTTTTTAAAGTTGTAGATGGACACCATTCATATCTCTCTCTCTCTCTCTCTCTCTTTCTTGTGCTGAGAATTGAACCCAGGGTGTCACACTTGCAAAGCAAGTGCTCTACCACTGAGCTACAGCCCCAGCCCCTGATCTTTAATTTTTACATGAAGAAACTGAGGTTCAGAAATACAAATTAACTTTCTAAAGATCATACAGTTACATAATAGTAGAAACAGGTCTAAAACACCATTCTGATTTTGAGTACCACATTCTTTCTTTAAAATTTTATTTTAAATTTCTTTATTTGAATTTGTTATACATAACAGCAGAATGAATTACAATTCATAGTACACATATAGAGCACAGTTTTTTATGTCTCTGGGTGTATACAAAGTAAGTCACACCATTTGTGTCTTCATACATGTACTTAGGGTAATGATGTCCATGTCATTCCACCATCTTTCCTACTCCCATTCCCCCTTCCCCTCCCTACATTTTGCCCTATCCAAAGTTCCTCCATTCATCCTATGCTCCCACCACATCCCCATTATGGATCAGCATCCTCATAACAGAGAAAACATTCGGCCTTTTTTGGGGGGAGATTGGTTGACTTCACTTATCATAATATATTCCAACTCCATCCATTCACCTGAAAATGCCATGATTTTATTCTCTTTTATTGCTGAGTAATATTCCATTGGGTATATATACCACATTTTATCCATTAATTTACTGAAGGGCATCTAGGTTGGTTCCACAATTTAGCTATTGTGAGTTGAGCTGCTAAAAACATTGATGTGGCTTTGTCACTGTACTATGCAGTTTTTAAGTCCTTTGGGTATAAACTGAGAAGTGAGATAGCTGGGTCAAATGGTGGTTCCATTCTCAGTTTTCCAAGGAATCTCCATACTACTTTCTATATTCATTGCACCAATTTACAGTCCTACAAGCAAAGTATGAGTGTGTTTTTCCCCTGACATCCTCACCAACACTTGCTGTTGTTTGTATTCTTGATAGCTGCCATTTTGACTGGAGTGAGATGAAATCTTAGTAGTTTTGATTTGCATTTCTCTAATTGCTAGCAATATTCAACATTTTTTTCATATATTTGTTGATTGATTGTATATCGTCTTCTGAGAAGTGACTGTTTAGTTCTTGGCCCATTTACTGATTGGGTTGTTTGATTTTTGGTGTT